AAGTCATAATGCCATCGTGGAAGTTTTGAATTCAGACTTACTGGTGTTTGATGCGAATGTGGCTGACGCAAGCCTGTCAAAATTCGATGGTTTTAATAATAAATCTTTTAAGAAATTATGACAAGATATAAAAACGAGAAAAAAGTTACGCCATATCCTATGAGGTCTGCTCTATCGAAACGCTACTTGGACTCCTTCGGAGGGTTGATGTAAAAATTTAGGAAAATTGTGAAACTTGAGCATCTCAAAAAGCATGGATCGCAGATTTTGATTATTTTCTGATAGCTCATTGACTGTTTTGCAAGTCTCATAATCATTAGAAAGAGGATGAAATTCTGCATCGAATACTAAGATCTCTTGATAATCTTTGTTCCATAACATGTGGCGTCCGTTTGAAAAAAGCGAAACTACTTTCGAAATGACGTAATATATATGCGTTTAGAATAAACAGTGTAGTGAGATGTGTGAACATATTAATAGTGGTACGACTTTCGTCACATCTTTGCCTATTTCAACACATGTCATGCGCTTCCATACTTCAAAACGGCAAATGGGCAACGAACGCACTTTGCGTGTCGTGATATAGCGCTTCGACGTCTTCATTCACCATTCAGGGGCGGTTTCTCGACTGATGTCTATACAAAACAACCTTATAGCCAAACACGGGGCGGATCAATCCAGCCGTCGCGTTTGTTGATTTCGGGTTCATATTATAAGGGATGATATCGTTTAGTCTGCACATAAGCATCTTTCACGATGTTCGATACAACTAGTCGGTAGTGACAAGCTTTATTTTCTTGTCGGAAAATACGCTTGACGATCAAGTACGATGCTGCTGCTGTTGCTGTTGATAACGCAGGATTAAACTGAAATTAAGTTAGTGAAGAAATTGATTTAGTGAAGAAAGCAACTAACACATGACGATAGAAAAAACGTACCCATGCGGTAAGAGAGATTCATTTTGATTCGCCAGATTCTGCTGTACATAATTATGGGCACAAGATTACCCTCCGATTTGTAGGTTTTTCCTTTATATGTAGCAGAACAAAACCTGTAATACTCAGAAATACACAGGGGGCTAAGCATCAGTCTAATTTACCTGTATCCAGTTAGACGTTGATCTTTCTGTGCTTTAACCTCAACACCAAACCAGTAGCATCCTGGAGTTTCCAGATTTGGCGTAATATCGTCGACTTTCACTTCGATTTTTCTTCCCCGGGGAGCCTGCATGACACTAATCAAAACAATGTAAAAGCATTATGTCATTGTTGTAGACCTGTATCCAGTAGTATTCAAACAAGAAGTCGTCTTTATCATTGGTGTTATACACGTTGTTGTAGCCCACTAGGGTCTCTATTTTTTGCCAGTTTGATTTGGCTTGCAGTACCTTTCCTGGCCCGTCTGGCTGAAATGCTTATTTAAAGATTGCTGATTTGAGTAAAGATGGCCATACCCTTTCATTGCATAGTCGTCCTCCATATCCACCTGGACAGTTACATATTGAGCAATCTCGAGGGTTTGGATATCCACCGTTTGCGCATTTTGCTGTCTCATAGGATGGGCCGGATGGGCCGGACGGGCGAGAAGGCCTGGCTGTGGTTGGGCGGGAAGGTCTGACTGTGGTTGGGCGGGAAGGCCTGGCTGTGGTTGGGCGGGAAGGCCTGGCTGTGGTTGGGCGGAAAGGCCTGGCTGTGGCTGGGCGGGAAGGCCTGGGTGTGGCTGGGCGGAAAGGCCTGGCTGTGGCTGGGCGGAAAGGCCTGGTTGTGGTGGTTGGGCGGCGTGTGGTAGTTGGGAACCTGTCACCAGCCTCACCGGGCAATTTACTCCAATTGGTCTTCCCTCCAGTGTTTGAGCCTTCTTTCCCGGGAAGTTTGTTACCACCGTTTGAGCCACCTTCTTCTCCTGGTAGTTTACGACCATTTGAGCCGCTAAAAATGCTACTCCAACTTGAGCCGCCAAAAATGCTACCACCGTCTGAGCCACCCTCTTCCCCTGATAGTCCACCACCATTTGAGCCGCCAAAGATACTGCCCCAGCCACTAAAGTCCATGCCACCGAAGTTACCGAGGCTACCGATGGGGTCGATAAAGCCACCAAATTCGTCATCATCAAAACTCTTGAAGGAACCGCTGGAGCCACTACGAGTAATGGTAACCTTGGTGATTCTGCCATTTCCGTTATTGTAAGTTCTAGTTTTAGTGATAGTTTCTCGTTTGACTCTACCTCGCGCAGGTGAGCGCTGCTTTGCGTTGCATTTTTCTAAACATACTAATCTTGGCTCATATTGGGTTTTCAAACAAACTTACTTAGACAGTCATACATATTGTTCAGCAAGAGCATATCGTAGAAGGAAATGAAATTTGACCCCATTGTATCGATGTACTTTGAGTCCAAAGGTACCATAGTGTACATACCTTTCTGTTTCTCTAGGGAATAGGAGATCATGCTGAAATGAACTTTTTTCTTTTCTCAATGGACTCCACAAAAATTGCAAACCTATCAGTTGCGTAGTTCATGATGCTTCCATAATCAAAAGGAATACCATAGTTGTTGCTTGTCTCTATAGTTTCCTTATTGAACTGTGACTCTTTTCCGGGTTGAATATTATGCGTGTTGATAATGAGGTATTGATCTCGATCATGTCTTGAGTGCGTATGATACATTCCAAGGGCATGTCCAAGTTCGTGTGCGGCGGTACCAATCTGTATGTACAATATATCAAATCGAATTAACAATACTGATCTTCATTTATTGACGGGCGCTTCTGTGCTGGCGCCGAACTCCAGTTCATTAGGGGAGGATCCTAGGCACACTGGTGACTTCGAATGAGATACGTACCATAGGTGTCTTGATAAACTATTTCAAATGTGCTCCCGTATCGGGTAGAGGAACGAGCACCTCAGTTAGTTACCGCTTCCGCGGGCTACTGGTTCTGTCGTCCTACTGTTGTACATCGTGTTAGGACCGTAGCCCGCGGAGGCGGTGCCTAATTGAGGTGTTCGTTCCTCTACCCTCCCATATCTGGTAAGCCCTTCGAAGGAAGTTAGGAGCGTTTTGAAATTGGTGATAAACACTGGGTGCTATACATTCATATTTAGCAGGTTTAGAAACATATGTTTCTAGTACTTCGAAGCGTTTCAAGCATCAGGTTCAATATTAACACCCGAACACTCATAACTTTTCCTAAAGAAGCACTCAACTGATTGAAAAGGTAAATCTGGAATCAAGTCATGAAGAATGTGCATTTCATTCAAGATTGTCAATGCAACCCAAGATGCCCTTCTCATTGATGCGGCAAACAACTTGCCACCGCTGTGGTAGGGTACTTGGTTAACAAGAAGAGTGGGTTTACGGCTAAAGCAAGCAGCGCAGTTAAAAATGGCCCGAGAAGATTGCAATAGCGAACTTTCCAACCCGCTTTGGCCTCTGGATGCACTGAGTCCAGGGCTATGTAAAAGTCGCGATTTCCACCGCCTCAGTCGTGATTGGCTGCCTGATTTCGGCCAATTACCGCCAAAATGGGTGGAGTTACTATCTCCTATAGCTAGTCAAAGTTTTTGGTGAAAATCCCTCCTCCAGCCTTTTCAGCAAACGTCAGAAAATACCAAAAAAGCACTTTTTTGATTTTTCAAGCACAGTTCTGGACTCAGTGGATCTAGAAAGCTATGTAGTTGTGAAAAGCCCGCAGTCGCATTTTTCCCAAGGCAATGCGCTTAAGCTTCCGGCTCGTCTTTGGCACATACTTTTTAGAGCGTTTATTGTCAGTTTCGGTGCTCGAAAAAACGTATCGAAGGTAGCGAAGGATTGCGTTGGAGGAGTGCTCAAGAATGTTTTCCGAACGCATTGAAGGCAGGGTCCGGAAAGAAAGTCGAATTTGGGATTTTGTGCTTACCTGGGCCTATTTGCTATGCTGAATCCTAAAATCAACACTGGAGAGCGCGAAAACGGCGAAAAAGGACACTAACGCCTAGGGAAATCAGTGGGCGGGATCTTCCTCACTATAAATTCAGGGTCCCAGCTTCCAGCGCGAACTTTCCGGTTCCGATTTCAAGTCGCATTCGCACTTGACCTGTGGAGATGTCAGGGCGGCTAGGGGAGCTGAAGTTAAAGCCTTTTCTCGCCGCTTTCGCGCTCTCCAGTGTGGGTTTTCGGACTAAGCATAGCGAATAAGCCCGGGTAAGCACAAAATCTCAAAATCGGCTTCTTGCCGGAACACTGCCTTTAAGCGTTCCATGCAAGAGACACTTACCAAGTGACATCCGTTTCCCAGCCTAAGCCTTTGCGCTCCTTGGTGTATGCATCCCACGTACGAAGAGCAGGCTGGCTCCATTGTCACAAGAACATAGTGTTGCGCTTAAAAAGTGAACATGAGATACTGGAAGCACAACTTTCATCTCACCTGCATCGCTCTCAATAAAAGTTAAACAACTGCCTTGTTGCCATAGCCTTGCCGCTTTCCTGAATATATCTCTTGTTCTACTGTCTGAAAACATTTTTGACTGATTTCAATTCTGTGGATGATTGAATGATCATACCTACCTATCGCATCAGTAAATGCGTAATACAGAGTGTCGTCTGGCCACTGGTAATTAACCCAGTGCTTCCAGTTCAAAGCTTGTCGTTTACTTCTGTCCAATTCCATATGAACATCGTTTCCGAGAATTGCTTCGGCCTGTTGACTGAAAGTCGATGTTGAGAGAAGCACTTGCTTAGAGTCGAACTCTTACGGAGTTAAAATTATGTCACTCTGATACAAAAGGTCTCCAATCTGTGCCTGTGCGTTGACTTGCTCGATGGTACTGTTACCATGTTCCGCATGTTGTATGGGTTGCAATTCCTGTAGAAACCTCTCAATTCAGCTAGAAATAACTCCACATCTATTCACACAATTCACCGGAGATTCCGCAGGATAAGCAAAAGTTTGCAGTGGTTCCGCAGGACACTGTTTACCATTGCAAAAGTGGAAAGGTTGAAAATAGGTACTTCCGCAAGATGTTCACGTCAGAGTTGAAACTTCCGCAGAACTCTGTACAAAGCTGGAAAATTTCGAAAAATGCCAACGATTCCGCAGCACTTTGACAGTACTTCCGCAGGGGCAAGGTTCGAATCTTGGTTAGGTGTTCTCTTTTGCTGTTTTCGTTCTGAACGCTTCCGAAATTTCCGTAACACGCTTGCGGAGCTTCCGCAGGAGACCGGCAGAGCTTCCCCATCCTGCGGAATTTCCGGTAAACTGTGTGAGCCATATGAGCAAACTCTTTAAAATACCGCCTCAATCCTTTGGAGAATTTCCTCCCGTTGAGGACTCAGTCGCAGTTCCTCTTTGATTTCATCCGCATGTGCTTGCAACATTTCATGGTTGGCAAGAACCTCAGCCTTGTTCACGGTCTGGAACACACTATAGAAGAAAGCGTAAAGCAGAAGTTGTATTAGCTAATAGCTCACTAGTGGTATCTCACTTAAGGCCCTGTCAATCCTTTCGACAACGGTTTCTGCAGCACCGTCACCAGCAAGTAAAAGTGGAAGAAAAAGGAACAACGACATTCTGTAAAACATTGTTTTTGGACTGAAATCTAAATATTTGAGGATGGCAAAGAAAGTCAATGTTTCACAACTTTAATTAACTTTGATATACAATAACATAGTACCCGTGTCTTTATCTGTGCATGGGTTTGAGTATAACAAAATGTTATGAAAATGTAATGTAATAAAATGTGGTCTTTATTAGCTTGCCGCATAAGTTCTGACAGATGCGCATTTTTCAAATTCAAAATAGTATAACCTGTTTCGGAGGCGACTTTTTCAATGATCTTGGTTCAATGGAATGGGAATTATTTTGGCCAACAGAAGGCGTATCTTTGCCAGAAACTCCATTGAAAAAGAAAAATCCAAAAATTTTGCAATAAAACTGTATTTGTTTGATACGGTAGTGCTCCCTTTAAAGGAGTGGCAGACATATTCAGTAATCTTTGATAGATGCCAAAAATTTCGAAGATTATTTTGTGCAAAAAAAAACACATAGGGTTATTAATGTCAAGAATTTTCCAAATAAACGGTTTTTGACCTCACATTATTACATGTATGACGTGCCTATTTTTGGTTCATGAAATCTTTACATTTACGTTGAGCTGTGAAAGTAAATGTAATTGGTGCATATGTTCTCTAGCTTTTGCTTTACTATAGAACTTTCAACGTTGAAATCAAGGATTGTCTCTGCTCATAGGAAGGTGCTTGCACAACATTTATTTGAAAAAATACCCTTCGACAATCCGTGCAAAAGCTAGATCCTTACACCCTCATTCCGTGACGAATACAAGAGTTTGGCTTGGACGGCTCGCTTTGCGATTTTCATAAGAATACATACAGGGCTTATCAATTGAAGGGTCGGGTGCACCAGCATCTCCACTCCCGTGTGAACTCTGCGTCTCTTCTGCAAAACATGCTCTCTAATCCTTCCAATCGATTGAGGCTCCGCCTCCACGTTAGCCCTGGGAAAGTGCTCAGAGAGCATGTTCGCGGAAGAGACGCAGAGTCCAATGCGAGAATGGAGACCTGATCACCCGACACTTCAATTGATAAGCCTTGTAGATATTTTCAAGGTTAAAATGCCTTCGACCGCCTAGAAACTTAGACCTGTAATCGCGTTAGACTGAGGATTTTAGTAAAGTTCAACATTTGTCGGAAAGATCAAGAAAAGCGTTTCTTAATATTAGAACATTACCGCATCAAAGGCAAAAATCTTTTTAGACTGCTAACATACTCAAAAAAACGGGCTAGCACTTCCGCAGCAGCTCAATGCTTGCAGACAGACATACAATATCGCATTGTATGGAACTTTGAATCTAAGTTTTTGGAGGTGAGGAAACGCAAACAGCATTATGAAGTACAGGGAATGTCTGTTATAGGCTATAGGCCGCTCGAGCAAGAGGTGCGGCACACAAACGTCGGATACGACCCCCTCCCCCAGCATTTTCGTCTGCCTACCGTAGGCATGACATAAATGCTCTACCGAGCATAACTAGTAACATATTCGTAGTTATCATGTCAAATAATCCCTGTGGGACAAGTTTCAGAGAATTCTGAGCGTTCTCAATGTTGAGCCACCCAAATGAAGTGGCCATTTTCAAACATAGTTAACCATATTTTAAAAGTGCATTAGCTAGCTCTTGTACTCACTACAAAGCACTACTCCATATTTGCCTATACCGTGTATCCTGCTTCAAACAACCATCAAACTCTGGAATTAGGAGCCGGCTAAAATCTCATTTGCTCAATTTTTCGCTCACAGTGGTTGTGATTCTAGCAACTACTGCTACAACTAAAGACGAATTTAGCTCTAATCACTTTCACAAAAACTATGAGACTTTGGCTATCGAAGTATTTATAAATTGTTCCCTAATTTTCTCGGAGGTAAGTTAATGGGGTGCGACAGAACCTCAGAAAAGCTATGGCTGGCACATCTTTTTAGGGGTTGTGTAGCATCCCACTAACTTACTTCCAAACCATTCATATACCTGCGTTTTCAATATCGTTGCTACTGCTTAACACATTGACAACCAAGGCATTTGGCGGACCGCACAACATTTTTTAGACAAAATCACGCGCAATTCAATTTAAAGTACACCTACAGTAACTCTGGAATGCTGGCAAAAATAGTAAAGGTTGTGTCTAGATCCAGCACAAAAGAAAACTCTCGGAGTGGGCTCAACACAAAATAGTAGCCATTTCAACGATACACATGGTGTGTCAAGCTGTCGTCAATGTGTTAACCTTGTTCCTCACACAACAAGAATTTCATATGAATTCGTTTCTTCTAGGGGAAGATATAATCGTAATATTCCTCCCCTATGCAAATGGAAAATACTGCAGAAATATTGGGTTACGAGAAGATGCTAAGCAGTGAACGGTTAGAAGTTAACCCAGCGATACCAAACATGCCGTAAATCATCGGGCTCGTCTTGGAACGCTGATCAAGAATATATGTTTTATGAGTTTATTATCTGCCAAGCGACTCTCTGGAAGAAGTTATGAGCGTTCAAATATGCGATCTGCCAAGTGTTCGGTGGCGCATGTTCTAGAAAATAGGTTTCAAAAACACTTGTTCAGGTTTTTGAATGTGCTTCTTTCTCGTGGTTGAGTTAACCATAGCCACTGTAAATATACGCCATCAGGCTGCCTTTCAAAGAATTATAATCGTCGAAACTCAAAAATTTCTCATATCTGAACGCTCATAACTCCTCCCAGATAGTCGCTTGGTAGATAAAAGACATATGATTGATATCAGCGTTTCAAGACGACTTCGCTGATGTACAGCTTTTTTGAAATGGTGGGTCTTTTGACCATGTCCTCCTAAGTCTGCTTGACCACGTGAATCGTGAGGGAAGGGGACAAGATGTATATCAACGAAACAACCTAATACAAGATGTTGTTGTCTCAAAAGTCTTGTCCGTTTTTTTTTCATCGCTTTAAAACTCACAGAACACCAACCCATGGACGACTTAGGCAACACTTAATTCCGATTTTCGTCATCTTTCTTACAGCTATATTTGCTTTTTGATCTACCATGTCTTTGCAATGTTATCGTCATTGCTTTTTGAGTATCTCACCAGTAACGCCGAATCAGGTTTCAATTCGCAGAAACTTTTAAAGCTTTCTTGTATTTGCTACAGTTGCGTGTTTCATGACTTTGCTAAAAATTGACACCTCCGAAGAAATAATTTTCTGAAGCTAAAAACAGCAGATTTGGAAAATCTAAAATCACCTTGTATCCGAGAATGCAATATTTGCTCCATACTTAACCCTTTTTGAGACTTTGGAAGACATTTTTGAAAATTAGCCTAACTTTGAACAGATAAAGTTAATGGGTGGAGTTTTGGCAATTATCGAAAAAGCGTACAAGATTATGGTTCGAAAATGCATCCATAAGAATGAGAAGGAAAAGCTGCATCATTTAGAGTACATTTCGAAACTCATTCAGATCCTTATTGTGCGTGGTTTTATAGTGGTTTGAAAAAACCGACAAAACTTTCGAGACAACCTAACATTTGATGATCTAAGCCTCGTTATTTACACCAAAATGATATGAACCTAATTGGTCTTCTCTAGTCTGAGATACTGAAAGCGGAGGACTGGAACAAGCGAGATTTTGGCGTGCTCTCAATTCTTTAACTTGGAGCTTATTTGAAGCAGGATTCCCAGTGTGAGCAAAGCAGATTTAGTTCTTTGTATCAAGTGAAAAAGAGGTAGTTAACTTACAAGAGTAACAAGTTTGAAATTGACCATCTCACTTGGGCAGCTCGATATATGGAAACCTCAGAGATCGCCGAAACTTGGACCACAGGATTTTTTTGACGTACTAACTACGAGAACTATGCTTTTATGCTTTTATAAATCTCACATCAATGTGCTAGTATTTTGCGATGGGCCTATCTGACTGTTAATGAATATCAAGTCATCGCTACATATACCAAAATCGTCTTGATAACGATCCCCCAACCCCTGACCTCTCAATAGCCCCCCCCCCAAGTGTGGCGTGCCACGCCCCACGCTTGACCTTGGTTATAGCTTACCTGATGGAAGACCAAAGGGAGGGCGGCCCTTAAGCGAAATGGTTTGGGTTTATATACTTTCGTACATATGTGTTTGATGTACTTTTATTATTTCAAACATCGTTTACCACTTAAAAACATAACATCTCACCGCTGTAATGTATGAAGCTATACAAATAAAGCCACAAAGGATTACTTTTGGCTTAGTCCGTCAAGCAGTTTCATTGTTCAGTTCCAGTAGAATATAATAACAACCATACAATCTTAATGCAGCTCTCAAAATTGTAGTATCAAGCGTTTGAGTTTGATTAGTTCTCAGCAATTTATTTGCATAATTGGTGGCCGAAATGTGTATTTTTGGCTTCTGTTCTACTATGAGTACGTATGGTCTGCTATTCTCTGCTATCTCGTTCTGGAGAAGCGCAGCCAACATGCAAAGGTTAGTCAAAGACTGTGGACCCATAAATTGGGAGTACATAATCGTATTCGCGGATGTTGTTTCCACATCTCCCTCCCACGTTGCTGAGTACAAATCCACTTACACTTCTTTCATAACATGTCGTCAAATACTATTACTGCAGTTATTTCACTCGAAGTTTATAATTTTTTCATTGTTTATGGAATGGCCTCTTATCACTTTCTCAGAAGCAACCTTGATTTTGCCTTGAGGAAACTGAATATGAGTGTTGGCCCAATACCGGGTCCACTTTCATGAGCTTTTTTGATCAACATGCATGTATTTCGTTTCTATTAGGGTGTTCGAGAAGTAATGGGACACTTCAACTTTTTTGCATCTTCGATGTTATTTTGTGATAACAATAAACAACCAGCATTCAAAATACATTTGTATAAAGTGATCTTCGCATGTTATCCTGGCAGCAACCTGCAGCTCAAATCATACAGTCCTTTGCGCGGCGCATCAAGAAGTCAGACAGACTTTCTGAACGCCATCCGAATTTGTACTGCAGTAACTTGAAGTCCTTGGGCATATGATAT